CTTTGTCTCACACACACAGAGAGAGAGAGAGAACTGACGTGCTACATGTAAATGATATTCTTTGTTGTATTTTCTTGTCAAAATAACAGCGTTCCTTTGGAATTCTTTAGCTTTTAAGAACTGCCGGGTTTTCCGGTAGTGGGCGGAACTAATGCGCAAACGGCAATCTCTGGCTGGCGCTCACCTATTATCGTCCCTGTTTTGATTTCAGCAAATCAGTTCGAGCGAACGCTGACAACGTGATTAATATTCATGAATCCAGTAGCTCATTAATCCTTGGTGCGTTTTATATTGTTCTTATTAGTAGAATTCGTATCATTATTATCTTATTAGTATTTTTGTTAGTTTTTTCCCAATTTATTTACAGAAACACTGAATGACCAAAAAGCACCACCACCAGTCAGTTCAGTTAAAATGACTAATATGCATTCATACATGGTTATCAAGTTTAAATTCTAATTACTAAAGTTCTATCATTAAATAATACTTGATTGTCATATTATAATGCTTGACTGACTGATGTTAAGAGTGTACGTTCAGATATTTAAAAACTGTGCCATTTTACAAACATTTTCATGTACAGTCGTGGTCAGAATTGTTGGCACCCTTGGTAAATATGATCAAAAAAGGCTGTGAAAATAAATCTGCATTGTTAATCCTATTGATCTTTTATTTAAAAAAATTTACAAAAATATAACCTTTCATTAAAGAATAAGAATTTAAAATGGGGGGAAATCTCATTATGAAATAAATGCTTTTCTCTAATACATGTTGGCCACAATTAATGGTACCCTTTTATTCAATACTTTTTGCATCAACCTTTTGCCAAGATAACAGCTCTGAGTCTTTACCTATAATGCCTAATGAGTTTGGAGAACATCTGACAAGAGATCAGAGACCATTTCTTCATCCAGAATCACTCCAGACCCTTCAGATTTCCAGCTGCATGTTGGTGCTTCTCCTCTTCAGTTCACCACACTCATTTTCTATAGGGTTCAGGTCAGAGGACTGGAATGGCCATGGCAGAATATTCGTTTTGTGCTCAGTGACCCATTTTTGCTTTGATTTTATGTTTGTTTTTGGATCATTGTCCTGTTGTAAGATCAGTTTAGCCCCCCTAAAAGTGGCCTAGCAACGCCCATGCAACTAACTGAAATAAGTTTAAAACTAAAAGTTACTAAAAGAAGGCTACATAAAAAATATTAAACAAACAATAAAAATGGCACAAGCACATGACAAACTTACTTGAAGTTAAATTCAAATGAAATCTGAAAATATAAAAAGCTAATTCAAAATATTTCTAAGTGCTACACTATAATAAATACTATAATATTATAAATAACACCATACAAATACTTTCAATCTTGAATTTTATTAACATTTTAAATATCATACAAACATTTATGGTTATGGTAAAGAAAATTGCGCATAAACAAGTGCAGTTGTGTTCTAACCGACAAGGGATGTTTATTCATTAATTCATTATAATTTGTTTGCGTTGTTTTTTCTCTCTTGCAACTTTATAAAATTGGGCACATCTGATTTCTCTCGGAGGGACAGCATTTTATTTATAGCATTTTATTTTTGACAGATATACTAACGCAGAACGCATAAAAGAGGTTTAAGATGTAGGAATAGCAATAGAATGAACAAAACAGACTGATAAAAAAAAACAGTATATAAAATTTACCCGTGATTCACTATCATATTTTCTTAGAGTCTCTGCTTCTCGTGGAGTTGGTAGATCCTTGCACGCGATTTGTACGGCGGTAAAGTTAGTTTAACGTTTGACATTCATTAGACATTCGGGTTTTTTGCCAATTAAACTCTTTGCAGCTGTTATGTTTTGAGCCCAAACTAACTCAGATAGACATAAATATATGCCCTTTATGTTGCACAAGGCTTAATTTCTAGGAATTAAAAAAAAAGAAGTAACCATTTAAATTAATTAAACAATTTAACTACGTGACATTATAATATAAAACCAATACTAAAATGTTCGGGAAAACATACCTGTTATCGCACAAAGCTCCGTTTTTGGAATTACAATTTTTTGTTTTTTTATAATAGTTTTACAACTTTTAAGTTGTTTTGATACCTTTATCTCAAACGGTGTCAAGAGTTTAATTAATTTAAGTGGGTACAGTATATAAAACATGACAAATATGGATTCAGTACTGTATATAAAAACAGTAAAGGCATAATCTGGAAAACCAAGACTTGTGCATTATAGGGAATATTATGAATATTTTACAGTTTGTTTGATACCTTTAGATTAAATGGTGTCGTTTAATGGATTTATATTATTGCATACATTAAAAGTTGTAAAATTATTATAAAAAACATAAAATTGTAATTCCAAAAACGGAGCTTTGTGCGATAACAGGTATGTTTTCCCGAACATTTTAGTATTGGTTTTATATTATAATGTCACGTAGTTAAATTGTTTAATTAATTTAAATGGTTAATTTTTTTTTTTTTAATTCCTAGAAATTAAGCCTTGTGCAACATAAAGGGCATATATTTATGTCTATCTGAGTTAGTTTGGGCTCAAAACATAAAAGCTGCAAAGAGTTTAATTGGCAAAAAACCCGAATGTCTAATGAATGTCAAACGTTAAACTAACTTTACCGCCGTACATCAGCATATCTTCAGGAGCCGAGCGTCCGTGAGGATCATTATGAAGAACAGGATGCCTATTGGCAGGCACAGGTAGAGCCAGCAGTGCAGCAGAGTTTCCTCGGGAGTTGTGCAAGGGTATGTGAACACATATTTGAAGAAGATAGGCATGGCTATGACTGACAGCTGTCCTGATGGGCACATTTCTGAGTACATAAATCGAAAAGACCGTGTGCCGAGCATATCTGCATGTACGCTTAACGGAACACATGCAAATGGAGTGATGCTGCTATAAAGCACCGCCGATTGAGAAAAATCTCCGCTGTTCAGCGAACACGACACGATGTTCCTGATATCCGCTGCTTCGTGTTCTCAGTGGATGGGGCAGAGGAAAGGGAGGAACCATTGGGATTCTCCCACAACAGAAGCCTCTGTTTGGAGAGATGCAGCGCCCCTCTATGTTTGCATGCATATATACTGACATGCGTTGGTCTCATATTATGTGCCGTGTTTAACTTATTTAAGCCTTAAACTGAAAGAATCTGGTGTAGAAATGAGATTATTAAATATGACAAATAAACTGTGGTTTTAAGGTGTTTTAAGGAGATCGAACGTTCATTTTAAACAGTTTAAAGGTGTGCGGTTTCTTCACAGGAAACTGTGTTTCGACCACTGGATGACCCCGAATTGGGGGCGTGTCTTTACTGTAAGTAGTAGTGATGGGAAGTTCGGATCATTTTACCGACTCGGACCTTTGAGTCTCGTTCAGCAAAATGAACGAATCTTTTTTCGAGTCATTTCGTTCATTTTAACAAAATATAATTAAAATGTTACGTGTTACTTCCCTAACACATCTACTACTTACGCAAACGTTGATCACACTACAAACAATACAAAACTGCTATAAGAAACAGAAAAGATTAATTCATTGTTTACCTGAGTCTTCAGTCTATGATTAGCTCACCACCTCTTATCTGACAAGTCTTCGGGTTTGGGCTTATGGGGCTGTCACGTGATGAACGAACGACTCGGAAAAACCCGAAGACTCGAACCAGGTGAACTACTTGACTAATTCCAGTACAGAACCTATAGGATGTTGCGCATGCGCGACTGAACGAATCACTCCCCGAGACGACTCGTTCTTCCCGAGTCACATTAAAGATTCGTTCAAAACGAACGAATCGTTCAAGAACGACCCAACACTAGTAAGTAGGCTATGTATGAGTTTATGGTCAGGAAGCACTTACTGAACTTTACACTGCACGTTATTTACGCCTTCTTTAATAGTATTTTCTTCCAATCTAAACTTGTCACTCGACTCTGACTTTGTCCTCGGTAAGATGCTCTTCTGTCTGATAATGACATGACAACACTAGCGGCTGGAATTATTTTATATTTTATATCAAAAGAAAGATCATTTAATTTGTTTCATTTATATATCAACATATGTATTATGCATAAAGTCTGATTTACTGTATTTAGTGAATAGTCGAGGTGTTTACCTGCATGTGTTTGTGTTGATGCGGAAATAGAAAGACACCCTATTTTTACACCATTTATCATATGATTGCTATGTACTGTAGGCTTCATTGCAGTTTTTCTTTGCCTTTCTGTCGCTTTTCTCTGCGTGTTTAGACACTGCTGGCATCATGACAGTGTTTAAAAACTGTACTGTGGTGTTAGATGTGAAAAATGTGCCTTTTAAAGAGAAGAATAAACTGCGACTAGCTCTGCTGGAGAATGGAGGAAACATCTCATATGTCATCAACAAAGAGGTTCGTATTGTGATCATTTTTTATAATCTAATAACTTTACCTTTCTGTCTTTTTTCTGTTATAAAAACTAAGAGCAGTTATGCATATAAAGTAAATTATTTATAAATAAGAAGTTGGGTTTCAAAGTTGCATAAGATACAGACTTCTTGGACAAAACCAAGTTGTACTGAGTCACTAAAGAGCTGCAGTATATCTTCTGACCTCCGTTTATCTTCTCCAGTGCTCTTTTGTAGTCACTAGCAGTGTGAATGACCTGAGCAGTAACCGGCAGCGCAGCATCCAGAAGCTCCAGGTCCCAGTGGTCGGGACGCAGTATGTGTGGAGCTGTCTGGACCAAGGGCATCTCCTGCCTTTGACGGAGCATAATTTGGCCCCACAGCTGCCGTATCCCGGCTCTGAATTCCTTCCCCGTTCAGGTAGGAGTTTCTTGTACCTCATTTAAGGAATTCTCTTTTTTCTTTGTTAGAACAGATGTTTGTCTCGAGTGATATGTGTTTTTTCTGTATTTGTGTATGTTTGTGCTTGTGTTGCAGTGTATTTTCGTTGAGAATTGTATTTGATATTATATTTGGGTTATGTAAGTATTAAGTGAGATTAAACAATGTATTTTTATAGCACTGTTGTTGTTTTTCACCATAAAGAGGTAAAAGTGTCGACACACAAACTAGAAAAAGAGAAGTTCAAAGGTCACACTCAGCTCCCAAAGACTGAGGTTGAGATTCTTGAGAAGGGTGGACCCCGTCCCGGCAGGTTCAGGTGCGCTCTTGTTTTTTGTCACTGTCAGTGTCAGAGTTTATTCAACAGTTTTTTGTTTTTAATCAGCTTCTACAGCACTAGTGCTGTTTAGATATGCTTGTTTAGCTGACTGTATCTTTTCATTTATTCAATGCAGAGTTTATAAAGAAGGTGATCATGGCCTGCCTGAATTTCCTTCTTATTTTCAAGTAGCCAAGTATTTGGTTTTTGAGAGGGTGAGTGAATTCATGCATCAATCACATTAACATTATTAGTGGACATCAGGGGAGAAACTAAAATAAATAAATAAAAGATATGATGACACTTCACCACTGCACATTAACTTTATTTTATTATTGGACTAAAAAAATGTATTAATTAAAAAAAAGTATGATGACTGTTTTAACACATTCTTCACCACAGCCTGAGCATGTCTGTGTTCTTGTGTTTCAGGTCAAACCCAAGACTTTGTCTGTTCTGGAGCTGCAGAGTGCCAAAGGCCGAGCAGGCCAGCAGTATCGTGTGTTGTGTTCAGTCTTGCGTGAAGCTGAGGTTTGGTGATCCTGAATGTTGTTTAAAAATTCACCTTGTTATCATTGGAATCATAAATGGTGATGGAGGTGCTGAATTTGTCTTGTGGTGACGGTGATGGGCTCTCTTTCGCTGTAGACCGCTGTGGTTCAAAACAAACTTGTGTTCTGTGTGACGTCT